AAACAGAAATTTTAATAAATGCAGTATTTCAGAGCTCTCAGGGCTGGAAGTTTGAAATGGTGCTAGCAGGACTAAAGCAGGAGTGCTATTCCTTCTGAGGGTTATGCAGACTTTGCTTGGTAACTATCTTCTCCTGATGTTTCTTCACACTATCTACCCTTTTTATGTGTCTCTATGTCCATTTTCTTCTGTTTTAAGGACACCAGATTATTGAATTAAGCTTTACCCTTATGAGCTCCATTTAACTTGATTACCTCTGAAAAGATCCTATCTTCAAATAAGGTCACATTCTGAGGTACTGGGGTTAGTATTTCAACACAAGAATTTTGAGGGAACACAATTCAACCCATGATACTCATATATATTGGAAACTTCATCAGACAGTTATATTTTATGCTTTCCAATATTATACATATTTTAAAGGTCTTAGAAGAAAACAATCTACTATGTACTGGATGCATATATTCACCATTTTTGTTTTCCTTCTCATTTGTGAAATTCTAAGTTTCCCTCTGGCACCACTTTCCATTTGTCTGAAGAATGGCCTTGAGAATTTCTTTCAAAGCTGGTCTTTTGGGGATGAACCATCAGATTTTCCTTCTTCTAAGAATGTCTTTATTTCACTTCCATTCTTAAAGGATATCTTCACTGGAATCATGTTTGACAATTCTTCTTTTAATAACATACTTTAAACAACATTATTCTACTACCTTCTAGTCTCAGTGGTTCTGACTAGAGATTCAGTTATTTGAATTTTTACCTATATGCAATTTATTACCTATCTGGCTGTTTTGAGGGTTTTTCTTTTATCTTTAGGTTTTCCTTTATCTAAAGGTTTTTCCTTTATCTTCTTTTAGCCTTTATCTTTCTCTTTTCCTTTATCTTTATCTTTCCTTTATCTTCTCAACAGTTTTGTTTATGGTAGGTGGATAATAATTTTCTTGAGTTTATCCTGTTTGGGGTTTGCTTTGTTTCTGGAGCCTATCAAATTTAGGAAGATTTTGGTCATTATTTACCATAAAACTGTTCTTTTTCTCTGACTCCAGAGATATGTATATTAGACATTTTTTTGGTACTGTCCCACAGGTCTCTGAAGCTCTGTTCTTCTTTATCATCATCTTCTCCACATTTTTTGTTAGAAGATTTGATATTTTCTATTAATCTGTCTTTAGTTTCATGTACTCCTTCCTTTTTTCATTTCTGTTATGTATTTGAGTCCATCTAGTGAAATTTGTTATGCCTTGTGTATTTTTACTTCTAAAATTAACATTTGGTGCTTCTTCAGATCTTCTATCTCCCTGCTGCAGCATTCATTTCAAGAGCATTTGCCATTACTTATCAGAGCATGGTTATAACAGTTGCTTAAGTTTGCCTGATAATTCTAACAATTTGTGTTATTTTAGGTTTGACATCTGTTGTCCGTTCCCTTACAAGACTATGAAATTTTCTTTTTTATGTTAAGTAGTTTGGGATTGTACCCTGGGCATAATGCGTATTGTGAAACTCTGGGTCTTCTTTATATCCTGTAGGGAATATTCAGGCTTTTGTTTTAGCAAGCCATCAGCCAGATTAAGTTCATGCCACAAGTACATACTCATCCTTGGTAGGCTCTGGTTCTAATACCAGTTCCATTTTTAAAAGTTTTTGTCATCCTTTCCAGGTCTGTTCCACCTGTATAGCCTCCAATAACCAGCATGGAGCCTAAGCAGTGGTCCACACTGTACTTCCATTCTCCTAGCCATTGGTGTCCTGTTTAGGGTCATAGCCCACAGATATAGTGCAGCTCAGGAGTAAGCCCCCAAATTTATGGCTCATTTTAAGTATTCTCCTGTGTGCAATGTCTCAGATACCTTCTGCCTCCCAGATGCTTCCTTCTTCATCTTTTGCCAAAAATCCAGGTTTTAGTGTCACTGTTCTACTAAGCACTTTCTGAAAAATGCACAACCTTCCGGGCCCAGCTGGTGAGAGATTAGACACAAATAGCAATGAGGGCTCTCTTTGTACTCTTGGAACAAAAATAACTTTGGTTAGGGAGAAGGGCTCCTTTCCCTTAGAATTCTAGGCACCTGCACAGTTACTGCTGGTGTAGCCAGTGCTGCTGAAGTATTGCCTGGGGACAGAGGCAGGAGAAAATGGAAAAAACAAAAGCGAACCCTCCATCCCAACCCACATACAGATTTTCCTACCTTTTCTGATTTGCAGCAACACCTCTTTTCTCATCCTGTGTGCAGTCACTATTTCTAGCTGCCTTTGAGTGTACACTGAAGACACTGGATTTTTAAAAAAATGTTCCCATCAGAGCTGGTTCACTGGCACTCCAGATTCCCATTTCTTGCCCAGTTTACCTGTCCACCATTTACTCTTCAGAGTCCTGAGATAGCTGTTCTACACCTTCTGTCCAGTGTTTGTAATTGCTTTCAGTGAAAAAGACTAGGTAGATTGTGCTGTTTGCCTTTGTAGAAACTGGAACTTGTTGCCTTTTAAAGATGCAGATTAGAGTGCTGTTTGAGAAGACAATTATACCAAAATCTAAAATATTTTCATAAATTTTACCAGTTTAAAAAAACAAAGGAGTACTACTTAGCCACAAAGAAGGATAAACAGAAGACATTTATAGGTAAATGGCTGTAACTTGAGACCATATTTATGAATGAAATATATGAGACTCACATTTGCAAACATTGCATTGCTTCCCTGGTGTAAGAAACTGAAAGAGCAAACAAAAAACCAAAATGTAAATAGATATTGTGAAATGGGAAGAAATTATTCAAAGGGAAAGAGGAACTAGGGTGGGGGAAGCAGGAAAGAGGGAAGGGAAAGGAAAAAAATACAAATTAGTTATACTACTAGTTTCTCCTAGTTCATTGAAAAGAAAGGTTTGTGCTAGTATTGTTTGGAGAATTTTTTATGCCCATACCTTTACTCTGAGTAACTACTTTGAAGATAACAATATGCAGTATATTAACTATTGTTATTCTCCTATTATTTTGTTATGAAATTTTATTTTATTCTTTCCATAAATTGAAAAATAAAAAATATTTCCTGTCTAGAAAAAGAAATTATAGCTACCTGAAAAGATTGCTAACTAGCATGGTTTCATTATCCAGACTGACCAAGTTTCAGCAAGAAATATACAGCTTAGACTTTACATATAGGTTTCTAAAGCTAAGAAAGTGGATACAAAGTGTTCTCATCATGAAAACAATAACAATGGGAGGTAGTTCATATGTTAGTTAACTAGATTTAGTTATCCCACAATGTATATAAAAATCTCAAGACATCGTTATATGATAAAAGCATTTAATTTTATCTATCCTTTTCAATCTAAAATTTACTAATCAGCTAGTGTGTATTCTTGTTTCTATCATCTTTGGAATCTCAGTCCAGATACAAAATTTTTATCAGAAATGCTTGATCCCTAGTGTTCATAAAGCTTATAATTCAAAAAGTGGATATATATACTCACGTTGTTCTAACCATACCTAAAAGTTTTCAGTAACATAATAAAGTACCAAAACTTTATCTTCATGTAATATTCAAAACTATATTCATGAGACTGGTTCATTTCTTTAGAACAATTGATTTGATCTTAAAGCAAACTATCTAGGCTCCAAATCTCTATTCAGGTTTAATAAGTTCACTAAGTCTGTGTCAACTCATTAATATTAATATTGACTTCAAAAGACTATTACATAAATCAGTAAGCAACTCTAAACTATCAACACTAACAGAACATTCTCAAATTTTCCTTGCAATTTTGTAGTGAACTGTAACCCTGTCAGTTTAAAATTAAATCTTTGGCATATTATTTTAGAATGTATGCAAATTATAATTAGTGGTTTGTGTTATGAGAAGTTTCTATTTTAACACAAATATCTGTTATGTTCTGAATTATGTACCTCAAGAAAGACACATTGGGTTCTTAATCTCCAGTATCTCACGATATGATGTTTACCTGGTGATAGGATTGCTACAGAGATAATCAAGTAAAAACAGGTCCTACAGGACTGGCTTTCTCATCAGAAAAAGTTTGCACACAGAGATAGACACACAGGGAGAAGAGACATGGGATGAGGGTGGTTATATACGAGACCAGGGTTGTGAAACAGCTGTAAGCTATAAGGCTAGAACCATTCCCTCCTTGGCAATATTAAAGGGTTTGTGACCCTGTATACACCTTGATTTCAGAGTTTGGGCCTCTAGATCTATGAAACAACAATACTAGGGAACTAGTACAATACTTCTATAAAGAAGTCACAAATAAGTTTTTCCTCTTATTGGAGCCCCAAATTAAGCTTTCCCATATGCACTGTGATACTGATGAGAAGATGTAAACTATGCTGCCAGACTTCTGTCTTTGATTACTCAATATCTGGCAAGTATTTCTTTGGCTCCAAGAAAAGTTTGAATTGGAACATAATTTGAATTAACAGCCTATGACTTAACCAGAGTACTGGCACAGATCCCAAGATCATCAAATTCATCATCCTGTATTTCTTTCAACAGTTCCATAAATCGGTGATGATTCATAGCATTGCATTTACATTGCTTTGAGAGAAAGCTTATCAGGTACTGAAAATATAAGAAAATAACTTCATGACAGCATTCTGTTCTGGGTTGCAGTATGATCTAGAAAAAGCCTTTGCATTAGGCCTTCCTCAGGATTATTCTCAAATCCAGTCATCCCACAGATTCCTACCTGCAGGAAACATGGAATATTGCTTGCCTCACAGCTTCATTGGGGGATTATTTTAGTTGACTTAGAAGCTCCAGTTCACTTCCTGGCACATACTTAGTAAGTGTCACTTGGCTTCCTCTTTCTTGGGGGACTTTTCAGACACTATCTATTCAAATGAACACTGGTGGCTTTCAGCCACACTTTCAGTTCCTTGACTACACTCCCACTTTCTTTCTCCTTTCACACTGTGCTCATGGCAGTCACTCATTCTGGCATACGTTAACTCCTGTGTAAAAATATTGTACAAAACATTTAGCCATACTTGTCTGATGGATGGGACTCCACAAAATACCCAGCAAAGGGACAATAAATTCGGGGTTGCAGGTCCTTCACCAGCTGAGCCTTGTAATTCAGGAGCTTCTTCCTTTCTGTTTTAATGAATTGAGCTTTCCATTCCTCTGAAAAGACAGGATTTGGGTTAGAGTCGTCTCTATTCGGAAATCACAGACAAGCGAAAGCTTTAGTAGACTGAAATTTGTTTCAGATCAAATAGAGATAAGGAGGGCAGAAATGGAGTAAAGCTTTGTGTTGTTAGTAGAGGACATTTCCCTGGCTTTACTCTGCACATTTTAACTGGTTACTAAGAAAATGTTAGCAGATTCGGCCCAAGGGACTGAGTTCTCTCCTTGTTTATGATAATTTGTTTTGGACTCTTGCCGAATATACAAGCTACGTATGGCTGTGTCCCATGCACAAGTATATCTTAAGGGCATCGTGATGCTTATAATCATTAACCTTTTATTAATACACTAGTGACTATAATCTTAGTGTGGTATAGAGTGATCAGCACCTGACAGTGGAAGGTGACCAGGAGCATAGACTTGTAGGTTAGGCAGTCTCAGAATCAGAGTCCGGGCCACCATTACTGGTTCTACTGCACTGGGAAAATTACCAAAGTTATCTTTATCTGCTTTCTCTTCTATAACATGATGCCTACTGCCCAAGGTGGTCATTCACCTGTTCGTTCTTTCAGCAGATATTTACTGTGCACCTCCTATGTGCCAGACATGGCTGGTTGTAGGCACTAAGAGTATAGTCGTGAAGCAGGTCCCTGGTCTCATGGAGCATATGCTGTAGCAAGAGAAGCAAAGAATGGATATGGAAATAAAGTTATTGCAAAGAGTGATGTGCTACGAAGAGCATGAAAAGAGCAACAGGACAGAGTGTCTGGGTGAGCTGGACTGGGATAGAGAAGCACTCCTAGACAGGGCAGTCAGGCAGCACACGGCAATGGAGTTGAGACACAGTTGAAAAGTTGCCAGCCCTCTGGAGTTTAGGGCAAGAGGAGTCCAGGCAGAGGAGCAGCAAGTGCAAATGCCCAGAACAAAAGCACAAGGCACACTGAGGCTGGGAAAGAAAGAGTAGGCCAGCGTAGGTGGACAGAGCACCTTGTGGCAGTCAGGCAGGAAAGGAAGCCAGGGAGAGAGGCAGGACGAGAGTACACGGGGTGCACAGTCAGGGAGCTGCTAGGTACTATAATTATTCCTATAGAAGCCTGACAAACACAGATAAGGACATAGAAAAATAAATGTTACTCATAGCCAAGACACAATTACTGTTAACATTTGGAAATATTCCAGACCTTTTTTAAATACATAGGTACACACACAAACACGCTCACACACACATAAACACACACGTGAACACACACGGAATGGAATTCTGCTAGTTAACCTCGAATAAGTACATTTTGCCTTTCCACTCACACAGTTAACTTCTTAAGGACAGAATTATCCCTCTGTCTGGAAGGTTACGTATTCTGGAAGGCAATGAATGTACAGTTAGAGAAGAAAGCAAGGGACCAGACAGAGATGACTTCACCCTGGAAGGAGGGCATGTCTGCCACACTTTAGACAAGAGTCACTTAGGAACACTGTGACTTATTCATTGGAAATAGCAAGCACTTACCATGCTCCTGTGGGGATACTAAATGAATGTAAAGCACCACTTACATACTTTCTTTATGCCGGTCACAGCACCACGTGGAAGGAACCCCAGGTGGAAGGGCTCCTGCCTGGGCCCCACTGTTCAGGGTGTGCCATTGTTGAGGACCAGTTTGACAGGGTGCAGAGCAAGTAATAATTGATATTAGTAAATTGGCACAAAAATAAATAGAGAGTATGTCCTAGGCCTATGTGACTTGTGGCGAGATCCGAGGCTGGCTCACAGACAGATTAATCTTAAGCCAAGGTCCAGAGCTGAGGCTAACAGACAGTCTGTGATGTTCTGATGCCTCAAAGCAATATAAGGCAGCCAAAGACTTTGACTCATTCAAATTTCTTCTAGCTCAATAGTTGCAGTTAGCAGTCAATCAGGTTACTAGTTAACTCTGATCTGCTCCCGTGTGCTTTTCCAAAAATGCACTGTTCCTCAGTCGAACCTTGACCACATCAGCAGTTCACCTCCATAATTTCCTGCAGCCACCAGCACACCCTCAATCAAGCTGTGCACCTAATAAAGGTCAAGGAGACTGGTGCCTCATGTCTTATTTCTTATTTGCCTTTGACCATTCCAGTGCTCTTTGTAACTAAACTATATACCTTGTCTGTGTTTTATTCTTCCTGTACACCTGAGCAGATCGGTGGTCCTAAGCTAGGGCCTGCATACACCACTAGCTTGCTAAGCATCCTGCAGGACTGACATGATGTATCCTTGTTGAGCTGCATACCCCCCATGCTAGACCACACTCCAAGTGTATTTGAGTCTGGATTCCTATAACCCCCTACCCTGACCTGCCTTAGGGCAGATCCTTTCCATGTGTTCCACCAGAGGGTCTTTCTTCTGTTCCACCATCACATTTTGAGCTAGGAATCTTAGTTTACAAGAGCTGTGGTTTAAAAGTCTAGTCTCCCTGTAAGACTGTAAATTTCTTGTGGGGATGAACCATGTATCAACTGTATTTGTATTTGTTTTCTCATGGTTGAGCAAACTGCCATGACCGGTTTTGGCATCACTTTGATGTAAAATATTACCAGTAAATTTTCCACCGCTGAAAGTCATTGGAAAACCGGATGCTCCCCCAGCAAAATCACTCATCATGAGAGCAACCTTTGCAGGCAGCCTGCCCCCATTGGGCCTGGTGCAGTCCACTGTATTGAGTATTTTGTGACCTGTAAGGAAACAAAGCAGTGTGAACACTCAAGGTGAAATCTCAACCACCGTAGTTTGGATTCCCAAGCCAACAATGTCTTCTATTTATAGTCTCTATAATCTCACTTATTTGATCTAGAAGAATTGGTTATACCCAAGTAAAAACAAAGAAAGACTTCAAAATTTAAAGCCTTCAACAGCAAATTCTCAATTTTCAAATGAATAAATTCATCCCATTTGACTGAGTGGATTCTGGGTGTCTCATTAAGATGACTAGCTTGCTTGCATTTGAGATCATAGATAGACTGTGTTCTTCATCCAGCTAGCTCCAGATTCTGAGCCTCAAGGACGCAGAGTGACTAAATCAACGAGAATCCTTCCATCATCTGCAAATTCTATGCAAAGCTCACATTCAAATGATTATCGGAATTGTAAGGCCATGTTCTCATATGAAAGACAGAAGCTTTCGATTAGATTGCTTACTGATGTTTCAAGATAAACACAACTACAGACATTTATTCAATAAAGGGAGTTTTGAAGATTTACTATAAGAAGTAGAAAACAACCATTGCCTGATGAATGAAAATCTTCACACCTGGCATTACATACGCGACATAACTGGTAATATATTGTCTGGAAAGATGATCTGATTGTTCATTGTTAAAAGACAAGTATGTATTTTCTACACTGTCAAATTTCAGCCCATTATTATTGTCTTCTCTACCCAGAATGTTTTCATGTCTCCTTGTTGAGGAGGATGAGAAAGTACCTTTGTACTCCACAATAATGCATGTGTCCATCTCAGGATGAACGCCATCCATCAAGATCATGAATCGAAGATTTTTGTCTACCTGGAATTCAAAAAGGGAAGCAACAACTGTGTATGTCACTTTGGTTCAATATTAAGAAGGTTGTCCCTTCTGGAAAGACCTCAGATTTGAAAAATAAATCTCCTTTTCTAACTGTTTTAGAGGGTTTTACTATTGGATAGTGGGAAGAAACCCATGTTTTATTAAGATAGTTATGTACAACATTTGAAGTTTAAATAAAGATTATATTTACTCAGTACATGTACAGACATCAGACTCTTTCCTCCCTTAATCATAAAGTGATTATCCTGCCTAAAATTCACATCAGAAAACATAACTGGAAAGTATGAAAAGAAAACACATTTCTGACCTGCTGCCATATTCCAAATGGAACTACATTGATATTAGTTAACTGGACACCGCTCTGATTCAGATTCCAAAACACAGGTCTTTCCGTGTCACCAACATAAATGGGAATATCTTGTCTTCTCTCCGAAAGCTTCTTTAGTGTAGGGTAACTAGAATTAGAAAAATGGAAAGTTTGAAAGATGAAAAACTACTATTACCATTTTGACTGAAAAGCAAGGAATTTTAGATAATGGGACTCTCACCAGAGTCCTGGCAAGAGTTTCTGCAGCAGGTTGAGTACAGTTTTGAATGGTACTTCCTAAGGGAGTCCTCCTTCTTTTTGGAACCTGTCTTAGGCCATGTAGGGTATTTCCAGTAGAGGGTATAGAGCGGGAAAAGCCAAGCTGCAGAGGCTGGTGGTAGATGGAGATCTCTATGACCTTCATTTCTTCTCTTTCCCAAAGTAATAGCTCCCGAGAAGAAAGAGTACTGGGCTGTAAGATGTAAAGACCCTGAAGGTCACCCCATTCGGGGGCTGGTTTTGCAACCTTCAAAGGTTGATAGCCTCACTTTGATATACAGAATGTATTTGCTATGCTTAAAGAGGATCCAAGTTACCATTTGGGCAAGACTGTAAAATTTAATACAATATAAGGTAAAACTATATTCAACATTCATAGTAATCCCAACTCAGTTCATAATCAATCATCCAAGTATTTTTGAATAGCTATATACATGAAATTAACTTTCATTTATGGAACATTCACGATATAAGAGGCTTGCTATATTCCATTGTGAGGTATCAACAAATCAATCTCTAGGAACCCATTATATTTCAAGTATACACACATGCTAGGCATTTTCATGTCTGGTTCTTACAGAATGCTCTGAGGAGGTTTGTTTTGATAGATGAGGAAACATGTTCAGAAATATACAACTAATGTTATGGTTTGTGTCTGGGTGTCCCCCCAAAGCCTCATGCAATCATGGGGCGGGCTTTTAGAGTTTGATTGATTACGGGTATGAGAGCTACACCTGCCCTAGGGCAGATAGTTTTGCATATGTAAGGGAGAAAAATGGCTTGTCGCCATTCTTCTCTTTTGTGCTTGTTGCTTTACTATGTTCCACTGCCTTGAACATTTGCCCTCTGCCATGTGCCACTCTGCCTTGGAGCCAGCTGAGTGTGGACTGTAAACTCCACAAACTGTAAGCTAAATAAATCTTTCCTTCCTTAATTTTGGGCATCAGGTATTTTGTCTCAGCAACAAGAGTAAAGTAACCAAGACAACTAACAAATAATAAATTGGTACTAAAATTTAAATTTTCTGAGTCTAAACCTAGAACTATTGGAAGTCTTATTCTAACATTAATGAATATTACTGTCTAGTTTAGGAACTATACTAGTGCATAAATTATAACATCAGGTGAAATGAAACATATAATTACAAGAAAAGTATGAATAAAATCTACATATCAGTACTTACTAACTATATTAATATTTACATTCTAACACTGTATTAAAAGCTGTCTAAATAAGTAGTATCTCTGGCAGAAATTCAGTACCCCCCAAAATCAAAACTTCAAAACATCCAGGATTCTTTCAGCATGCCTTAAATATCTTATTTTAATCTTGCATTTTAAAGGACTTTGAGAGCAAAGATAAATTACCCTATATGTATATTTATTGCTTTATGGTATTTTTTTTATTTCTGATCATTCTTACTGGCATCTATTAACGTTACTGTGATACTCTATTTATATAGTAAAATCACATTTTTGGAATAAAGAGTACTCACTGAAGTACACTGGCCTTTCTTATTTTTGTGACTCTGGGAGCTTTTTATTTAGTATGTGAAGGTCAGACCATAGGAATGGGGACAAATGTCCTCAACATTTATTAGTTGACTAAGAAAGTATCAAAAAGCAAGAGTCTATCAAGGAAACAGACTCAAATGTGCAAAACTGACTCCTTCTGCAACTTTTCAGTGATAAACTCTTGGCCACACGCTGAACAATGGCTTGTGATATTTTAGTGCATAACAACTTTGTAATATACAAAAGCATAAAACTCAACCTACATTGCCTTTTAGGACAGTGGTTAAAGAATGACTTGACTAAATAACATTAAAAGCCCTTGCTTGCCCTAAAATTCAGTATATTATCATATAATGTCTCTCATTAAGACTTTAGGCAATTGTATTTTATAATGAATACTATAAAGCAATTGGGTCATTTACATGATATTAACTATAACTGAAAGGGTAATTAAATTTCTAAATAAAGCCTGCCAAGAATGCTCTCCAAAACCAGGGGGACATGTCTGGACAGGCCTGATAACAGAACATTTCTTCTTTTGTATAACCCCTATCTTTACTGACTTTGTATAACTGAGGGCCTTGCAATGATATAATCTAAAATGTAACAGGACATTTCTTCCTTTGCATAACCCATGCTTTGTAAAACTGAAAGCCTTGCAATGTAACCTGAAATGTTTAAACTCCTATAGCAACCCAAGATGTCACCCGGCCCTCCAATCATAGCACATGAAATCTGCTTTTGTGTCTCCTCCCTTGATCTCCCTATGAAAGTCCCCAAATCCTGCTGGGCAGGGCTCTGATTCTTTGGGAGAGATTCCAATCATGCCCACTGGTATAATAAACTGCCTCCTAAATCTTTTTGGTGCCATTTCTTATCGTGTTTGGTCTGTTTTCTGTAACATAACAAGTCATACAAACCCCACATAATCCAGAAAATTACTACCATATAATCCAGTTATTATACAACACAAGAGCAGAGGGCTCTCATACCCCTAAAATGATTCAAGTTTATTTCTAGGAGCTTTTGTGGATTAAGGCCTTGTGCAATAGACAAGAAGATTTTTAGTTGTAAAACCATAATACCTTGGTGGGTTGTGATCAGGTAAGTGCACTGTAAATAGTTTGTTTCTAAATCAGTTAATTAAATTTTTCCATCATTCTCTTTAAGAAATAATAAGGTAGCCAGGTATAGCGACACATGCCTGTAATACTGGCACTTGGGAGGCTGAGGCAGGAGGATCATCTCGAGTTTGAGGCTGGCTTGGGCTACATAGTGAACTTAAGGCCATCCTAAACTACATAGTGAGACCCTGTCTCAAAAAAAAAAAAAAAAATAATAATAATAATAATATAGAGGATATTCATACCTTGCAAGTCCCAAAATAAAAAATCAAGGTACCAGTCAAGCAATGATCAACATATACTTAACCAAGGACATTTTTGTTTCAGTGTGTCTTACATGGAATTAGGAATATGATCTCTCCTCCTATAATTGTTTGTTCCCCAAAATTGTGTAGTTTCTTAAGTGAAGGGTCTCCTCTCTCTTCCTTTCAATTGTGTGGGCTGGGAAATTTCACCTGATGATCAGCATGTACCATGCTGCTGTGGTTCCGGCGAAGGGATATATGGGATTGAGTCATGAGTTAATAAGTTGGAAGCACAGTATTAGGATGCTCTTGGGGAGCCTGGGATTTAGCTCAGTGGCACAGCGCCTGCCTGGCAAGCACAAGGTTGTGAGTTCGGTTCCCGGTACCGGAAAAAAAAAAACAAGAAAAGGGATGCTCTAAATCAGGATTTAACAATCCAGTGTGTCAGCCAGATCTCACCTGCTGCTTCCTTTGTGTAATCTTATACACTGAGGCTATTTTTTACCTTTTTAAACAATTGAAAAGAAAATCAAAAGGAAAATAACATTTCATGACACATGAAAATGATATTGAAATATCATTAACCATAAATAGAGTTCAATTGGAACAGTCAGTGTGATTCTTATTCAGGGCTGTCTAAGCTGATTTTTGTGCTACAATGGCAGAATGAGTGTACCTCAACACTAATTATGTAGGTTGCAAAGTCTAACATGTTCCCACTGGTTCTTTATACATAATGTGTGCTGATTATGCTATTAATATTGAACTGTACAATAAAAGGTCAACTCTGATGACACTTCCACCTAGACTTGTACCAAATGGCTAAGAGAGGGAAGTGAGAGGATTATTAACTCCAACTTCTTTCCCGCAAGAGCTCCTTCCTCATTCCCAATGTTATTTCCATTTGCAAATTTATTAATCCTCTTGCCATCCTTCCAACTGAATCTAGTTCAAAGTGAGTGGTGATTGCAGAAGAATTTGACATTTTTGTGCAGCAGCATCTTAGGAGTTGCAGGGCTCTTTACCTTAGGTGGTCTGAATGCATGTGACTGATGTAAATTAGATCTGCTTTGCACAGCCTCTCCAGCCAATCAGATGGAGGCTCGTGGAGCAACCACCATCCTCGGGCAAATGCAGGACCAGTTAACCAAGGGTCAAACACCATTCTCTTGTCTCCCAACTTGAGGTCCATGCAAGCGTGAGTGAGATATGTTACCTGTTAGAAGAGAGTGAGATTCCTATTACTCAGTCATTGCTGGTCTGCAACAGCGAACCAAAAGGTTTGGCCTATTTCACTGACAAGTTGGGTTGGAGAATTTTGTTGCTAAGCAAGGTGGCCAGCAATAGAATCTTGGACTCAACTACAGTGCAATAGGAGCTTTGAACAGGACACAATTCCCAGCAGAGACTGTGACTTTACCACAACAGAAATTCTGTTTACCAGAACAGACAGGTGGATTTTAGGTGTCAAACCAATTGATTTACTTATTTCACTCTATTTAAATTCACTCCTAAGAACTGATTTACGGTCCTCACTGAGAGCATCTTTTGGAACCAGTCCTTCGAGGCACAGTGAGATGTTTTGATAAGCACTTGGGGATTTAGATACCAGAGAGGGTGTGAATGGGAATATGAAGGAGGGGTTCACAATGGGTTAGGTGGGCAGGACAGCCATGCAGAGTAGCCTCATAACCAGCTGCGGTGTGCATAGCTTCCTCCTCTAATTTACCCCTTTAGATGGCAAGGTTGCCTGAGACAGGCCACAAACAATGATTTACAGATATGCACAGATGGGGAATTCCAAACCCATTCCTGCACCCTGGCCTCTATCGCTATGGCGTCCATAGAGAAGGAATGTGGCCAGCAGAGCTACCTAACACGACCTGCAGTGTGAAAAACCAACAGAACAGAAGAGGAGAGGTCAAAGAGTCCAAGCAGTTTACATTATGCTTCTTTGGGGTAGGTTCCCATTTGTTTGCTCAAAATACAACTACCCCCCAAAACACAAGATTCCCATTACGCAGAAAAAGTGGATTTTTGATCGGCTTTCCCAAGTACATGGTCTGAAAGAAACTCTCTACTAAAGCTGGAAGAAATGCGTAGGAATGCTCAAAAAGATCTCAGGACACAGAGCAGGAGAAGACAACTCCTCATTTGCTGTGGTTTGCCCCCCAAAGTTTCGTGTGTTGGGAGTTTGATGTTCAGGTTGGTGATGGGGAGGTAGGATTGAAGAAATAAAACTACATGAGGAGACCAGGAAATCAAGGATTTAAAGCTGTACTTTTAAAAAACACTGCAGCTTCACAACAAGCTCTTTTCCTGCTTCTGGAGGCCACCCTCGTAGGTGACCTTCTCCCTCCACCCTTACAGAGACTAGCATTAAATTCCTAAAAGTCCTTTACAATAATCTGTAAATTCCCAGGCACTTGACCCTTTTCACCTGCAAATTGCCTTTCCCTCTAGCCCAGAAAGTAGCTGCACTGGAGATAGCAAGTCTTCATTTCAAATGTATGTCTCCACTTCAAACCCATATAGATGGCTTGTCCTATAACCTGGTAAACAGTGTGAATACACATCCAAGATCACCTGTGTTGAAAACAGTGTTTAACTGTACCCACCCTTCCCTGGCTTGAATGTGCCTCATTTCCTTGAGCACCCACACTGCACTCTTGAGTGCATCCTGTATCTTCTCTTAATAAGTCTTTCTCATGCCTCTTTTACTGATGTGTCCTAAAAATTCTTTGTCTGTACTGTGGTCAGTAAACCTGCATACTTATTTTAAAGGAGTGGGACAAGTACCTTATTTCCACTTGGGGGACCCTTATACCCAGGCTGTAACAGTGGGACCTTTAAAAGTGGGGCCTACAGGGAGGTAATTGGGTCACCAGGGCATTACCTCGGAGGGGTTATGTTCTTGTAGGATCAGTCTAGTTTCCTTGAGAATGGGTTGTTATAACCTGGTACTTCCTCAGAAACCCTCTTCTGCCACTCTCACACATTCTTCTATCATCATGATACTGCCGCTACAAAGGCCTCACCAGAGCTAAACAGGCACCATGCCCCTGAACTTCTAGAGCTGTAAGGTAAATCAGCCTCTTTTCACTATAAAGTATCCAGTCTCCAGTATTTTGTTACAGTAACAGAAAATATATTGATATACTACTCTATCTGACAGTGATTTGGCATCAAGGTTAATTTCTGAGCTTTCTCCAGTAGCTTTGCATGATTCCTTTTTGGGACTGCTACTAAGGTCTTTCTTTTCTAGATGGAGAATATATATTATAAATCCCATATTTTATATATATATATATATATATATATATACACATATATATATTCCATATATTTGCAATCATTCATACTTTGTTCTTTTTTTTCTTAAAAATATTTGCCATTCCCTTTTATTGATAACATAACTAAGATACTTATTTTATACATTTTAATTATTTTAAGATTTAATGATAATAGTTAAGCTACAGTGTGGACCAGAAATAAAAATATACAAGATATTTTTAGAAACACATGCATTTCTACCTTATAATACACTTTTTAAAAATCCCACAAAGATACATATTTATTTTTAAAATACAGACTGAAAATGAAACCAGTTCATCAAATTTCTACATAGGTATGACAAGACAGCTTTTATATAAAAGAAAAATTGATGTAGAAATAACACTTTCAACTTAGTTTTCTGGTATCTTCAAGATCATATCAACTCTACACATCATTATTTTTAAATATGGAACTTGAGTTCTTTTCTTATTTCTGTCATGCTTACAATAAACCATAAAAGTGCTCTAAACACAGTGAGTGGAATTCTTACATTTTAAAGAACTTTCTTAATATAAAGGATAGTAATCAAATTGTGTTTTATGTTTCTCCATAAGTTTGTATGGCACTAAAATGACTTTACATGGGAGAACTAGTTGATATATAGTGACATAAACATCCTTAGAAACATCTTTTGATGGTCACGTATGCATTAATGGCTATTTCATGGTTCACTTTCAGTTCTCTAGTATATACCAAACCATCCAACAAAATATAACTGTGGTGCTACTCTGTTTTTGAGAACAAAGACTCTCTGTACTACAACTGCCTTTAAGAAATATAGACATTTAAAAATACATGTAAATCACTCATCGTACCTGGTCATAACATTTGCCCAAAACCTGATACTTAAGTTATTAATACAACTTTTTAAACACTTTTGTTTTGCTTAAAAATGAAGGAAAAGCATTTTTCCTTTTATCTAGTCAAGCAGAATTATAAGAAGAGAAATGATAGGACTTAAAAATTCTGTTCTCATCATTCTGCTATAATTCAGCCAAGCCTGCATATTTTAACAATAAACAACATTAGAGTTTTTACAAAATCATGCTTACAGGCTTAGGGTAGAGCTCAGTGGTAGACTGCACACTTAGCATGTTCTAGGCCCTGGATTTGGTCCCCAGTGGACAAAAAATAAAAGAAGAAAAATCATGATTACAGTGAAAAGCTTGGAACAGTGTAATACAGCTAACGGTATTCTCTCGAACCCCACTATGAGGTTACAAACACTGCACTTCCAAATAATACTTTTAACCAGTTTCAAATAACCTAACTGATTAGCCAGCATCAGTTGAGGAATTTTTTTTCAGTGTTCTAAGATATAATGATTGGCATCAAAAAGTTAGTGAAGCACTTTTGATTTCTGACTTAAAAAAAAAAAAAAAAACCTTCAAGTAATGCTTCTCCTGCATTTAATGTTTCCTTGCAGAGTTTATAAAGGACAAGAAACTCCAAGCAACAATTTTTTTTAGTTGAGGTGAAAAAATTGCTTCATAAGTTCATACATCACAAAAGCCATGGCTTGAAAAAGAATGCAGCAGCTGTAATTCAGAGATAAAGCCCAGTACAGCCCCTTGCGGATCCCATGGTGCCCGTAGACATACTTCATATTCTCCCACGTAGTAGGGCACTTTTCAAATTCTGGCAGAACTATTCCTAACTGCATTCGCCCATGAGTTACATCAGATGGGTTGGATATTGTCTGTGTTATTGCTCCAGCAACATCACCACAAAGTAAATTTAAGTGAATTTTCAAAACTAACACATTAGGATTGTCTGATGAAGGACTGCCAAGAAGGGTAGGGACATGGGAAAGCCCAACCCTGTTTAAGGTACCCAAAGTAAATAATGAACCACCTGCATACGGAGACATTCCTAATATGGTTGGCATCAGGCCTCTGTAAAATGCAAGGAAACCACCTTCCTTTGCATAAATGGTTTTTTTTTTTTTTTTTTTTTTTTGATATTGGGAATCAAACTCAGGACTTTGTGCTTGCCAGGCAGGCACTGTGCCTCTGAGCTATATCCCCAGCCCCTTGCATAAATGGTTTTGAAGGCATGAATAATTCCTGTATAGGTGTGCTCCCCTTTCACCTGGAATGTTAGGTGCACCCTGATCATAGCAAGAGGGTAAGTACAGATAATGGCTGTCATGTCTGCCAAGAATCTAGCCATTAATCTGTGCACATGACCAGAAATTCCCAGCTTTGTGGTCATCAACATATTATACTGCTCAAATGCAGTATAGAGAAAGATTCGAATCATCGTGGTACCATTTCCTTTATACAATCCAAGGTATTCTTCCTTTACGGGAACAGCACGCAATGCAGAAAATACTCCTAAATGCTTTCAATGGCGATTGTGAGCTTGTAATAAAACCTTTACTTGACCCAAAGGAACAATTGCTGTTTTATCACAGCATCCAGCAATACGATTGCCGGTGCAGTGAAGCAGGTGGAGTTCAGGAAGGTCAACGCGGCCGCTGGCTCCCGACCTGCCAGTGACCCTGCCCCCGCCGCAAGCACCCACCTCAGGTCAGGAAGGAGCACAGCCGCTAGAAGTCTCACTGGGCTGTGGACCCTCCGACCCCTGCCACCTGTGGCACCGCAGGAGGGGGATAGGCCTCTGCCAGGGCCGCTGCCGCAGCCACCATGATGAGGCCACATCGGGAGATTTGGGTGTCAACTTGAGAAGCACAGGCTAGGACCATAGTTGGGGTGGGCAGCGACAGGGGCCGGCTGCCCCGGAGGCGGGGCCAAATCATCATGCTTAGTTCTTAAAGAACAGTATAATTTTTTTGTCTTTTTGAGACAGGGTCTCACTGTGCAGTTCAGACTGGCCTTGAGCTCACTTTGTAGCCCAGGCTGGTCTCGAACTCACAATGATCCTCCTGCCTCAGCCTCCAGAGATTACAGGCATGCACCCCATGCCTGGACTATAATTTTAATAATAACATTATAATTTTAATGTTTCCGTACCTGTACTTCCCCAAAAGCCAAATCTTCAGGAGACCTGGGATCTGAATCCCAAGGGTTTGGAGGGTTCAGTTCTAGAAGTAACAGTCCATTGTTTTCATCCATTTCAACAACTAGAACCAAAGGAAAATAAATCTGGGTTAGTAATAAAAATGACTTTTAAAAAGTACCCCTGAAATAGAAATGTGTGGCTCATGTACACAAAGTGTCACAAATCAAAGAAAAATCAAAACGAAAGGCAGCGCTCACCGGGGTCAAAGAGTATCTGCCCACATAACAGCCAAAGATAGACACCAATTCATTTCTTGATTCATGTTACTGGTAAGTAAGTTAGGAGACCTTGGCTACATTAGGACATACAGCAAAATTATATACTGTGACACACACTGCCACACACATACACACACATAACTAAATGAACAACAGATGGTTCAAAGTGCTAGGAGGGTGTTCAAGAAGAAACACCTAATGTGGTTATAACAGCCAGGCAAATTTCAAATAGGAAGCAATCCTCCAGCTGGACTTAAAGATGAGGTGTTCCAGGAGACAAAAGAAATCCAGTGGTGTGAGAGGAGAGACATGGGGAAAATGGTGTGTGTAAAGGCACCGAGGCATGGGAGAGTTTGTTATTCACAGAAATTTAGGTCAGTGCTGACCTAGGAACATGGTGGTAGATCAGGCAAGATATTCAGCTTGGTCACTGTAGGTTATGATGGACCCAAATACCATGCTATGACATTGGGATTTTATCTTATACCACTGAGTGCTCAATAAACAACCGTGGCGTGCCCTTTTGGTAGCCTCCACAAAATCTATTGACTTCTTTTTTACAATAGCATTCCAGTTTTATGAAGAACAGTGATATGTCTGCCTATGACAAGCCTATCAGGATTTTCCAGGCACCTTTGCAATTATGAGTAGCCAGAGAAACAGCACATACAATATATGCAGAGTTTTTCCAGTCTGCTGTGAATGGCAGCCCAGCAGTGAGATTTCCTGCTCCCTTCGCCCTTCAGCTGCTCCCCTCTCTTGTGTGGAACTTGATATCCATGACTGTAAGAACAGGATCCATCCTGAGACCCCAAGGAACAGGGCCACAGACCAAGGATAACAAAGCAGAAAGATGGAAGGGACCCAGATCCATGGAAAACCATAGAACACCCATGCTGCCCTGGAAGCCTGCTTTCCAATCTCCCGTGAGGTGAGGAAACTACCGTGTATGATCAGGCCACTCTCACTGGGTTTCTGCTACATACAGCCAAAAGAAACTCCTTATTGCTTCAGCAAGAGAGGAATGTAGTCAGAACTTAGTTTAAGCCCAATGTGAGCACCATGGACAGGACCAATGGGAGGCAAGCAAAACCCTATTCTAACTGCAATATTAACATTATATGTGGGGCTGGGGATTTAGCTCAGTGGCACAGCACCTACCTGGCAAGCACAAGGTTGTGAGTTCGATTTCCGGTACTGGAAAAAAACAAAAACAAAAAACAAAAAACGAAAAAAAAACATTACATGTGAGGGGAGCCAGCAGCTCAGCCCTCATGGGCATGGGCATGGGATTCATAGGCCTTGTTTGAAGCCTCATTTTCCCACTGATCTGCAGATGACCTTGGACAAGTTACTTGATTCTTTCATTTTCTAGTGTTATCATCAACCTTTGTTACTTCCAAGAAGAGATAATCCTGATAACTGCAATAAAATTGAATTATTGCTATATTATTGCTAAATGGGCAGTTGCTGTTGGAATATGTCCCTGCCTTGTACCAAATTCTCTCAAAGTATACAATTCTGCCCACTCACTTGGGTGGCCTAAGGGAGATTTTTGAGGGTAAGGTCCCAAGGTTAAAGAATGCACTTGTGTAAGATATCAGCAACAACAGCAGGCAGCACCAAGCACAGCAGAGCAGAGGAAAAGAGCACAAGCGCCACCTGAGTTTTCACTGTATAATTCTTATACAGGTTGTTATCTCATGTTTACATTCTTACATAGTGCTGTAACCAGTGCATGCCTGTTTACCAGTGCTAAGTTATAACTGACTCCCACTGTGCACCTGCACTAGTCAAGCAGGGTCACATCCTCAGGTGTCCTTAGGCACCCCTAAGCTTTGAAGCAGTCTGAGTGGTTCTCCATATCTCACACTCTCAAAGGTCAGGGGGATGTAAATGTAACATTCTATATATAACAGGGCATGAGTACCTGTAATTAACAAATCAAGAAACATGTGGTTTTGCAAAACGATCTTTCTCACTGGGGAAGTTTTATTCACGAGCAACATCAAAGCCTGATGGGTAACATTCAAGGCCTAGGCCACACATTGAGCAAAGGGCTTCAATCTGGAGGGCTAGGCATGGTCCTTGCCCCTGGGCAGATGCTACTCCTAGCAGTATCCCATATGCCGCAGTCAAAAATTTTTGGTCAGACACTATTCCTAGTGGTCAACCATTCAAATATCTGGTCAAGGCATCTGTTATTTCATTTTCCAGGGAGAGGAGGGGCTTATGTCCTGAACCATAATAGCCTATATGGTTAGGTTTTTGGTTATGCTCCCATATGTCTCACCACAGGTTGGCACCCCACAAAGGACAATGCCCTATCACTCTGCCCAAGCCAGAAACCTGAACATCAGCCCCCTAAAGATGCCCAGCTGTCGTGCACACATGTAGGGCATTTCCTCCATGAATGACAAGCAATCAAGCAATTACACTGTCCACAACTCTGACCGTGGGCTTGACCTGCCTGTTCTGGTTTCAAACCAGAGTACTTCTGTACTGGGCTGGACAGTGGCTGCTGTCTGTTGGGGGTTTGGGTCACAGTTAGACCCATCAGTACACCCAGTGTCAGCCAGAGGTCCCTCTTTTCCCCCTTTATAGGAAGGGGTCATGTCCCGTAGTCCATCCTTCCAGATGGGTTCCTGAGCTGTGTACATCATGGGTCCCAAAATCATTGCCAGTTCAGCTGCCAATGGGCTAGCAGAAAAGAAGGCCCGCTGCTGCAGGTATGCCACCCCCAACATGTGAGAGTGGGAGGCTGTGCTACCCCACTCCCAGCACAGACTGTTATGTCCGTGCCCAGCCCTCTGTCAGGTATTTTGTCTGTACTTTGACAGTCTGTTGTCTTGTAATTCCTCAAGCATTGCTGTTTCTCAGTCAGGGAATATAGGCTCTCAGGTCCCTTCCACAACTGTGACCAAGACCAAACACAGTGCCTCCACTTCCCCTGTTTTTTCCATAGGCCCCACTCAAAGTCATCATCATCTACACTGATGGTTAGGATAAATGAGAGGTTAGGGTCAATGACTCGTAGAGATTGCACCTGTGCCACAGCCCTTTTTGAGTACTGAAAAATAGCTTCTGCTGCATCCATCTAGCATGCAGCTTCTGCTGCATCTGTGCAGCCCCATGTTGTGCCCCTCTTGATCATCTGGTGTAAAGGGATCAGTAAGGTAGCTAGGTGCAGTGCGTCTGCCAAAAACCTAGCAAGCCCACCTACCCCCGTAATTGGCATACTGTCAGGGGTTTGGTCTTGCCCAACCACGTAACACCCAAGAATTTGACAGACAGGCTAGCTCCCTGGACCTTGTCTTTGTCCATGGCCAACCTGCAGGCCAGCAAAGCTTTCTTCAGACTGTGCAGGGTAGCTCTCAGATATGCCCAGCAATCAAAGATTGACATAATATCAATACAATGAAACAGTGATACAGAGTATGGCTGGTCTAGGTGGTCAAGTCCTGGGCCACTAGGCCATTACACAAAGTTGCATAGCCTTGTGGCAACATCTGGAAGGTCCATTGCCTGCCTTTCCAGGTGGAGGCAAATTGGTCCTGACTGGCAGCCTCAGGGTGAGATTTTACAGTCATTTACCACAACCCATCTATCTGGCTTCTTTCTGCAAGGGCCATACTGAAAGGCTCTGTGGAAGGTATATCATCCCTGCTTTTTCAAAATTCAACACAGTCTGTCCCATTGCTTCATGACCTCCAGGCAGCAGGTACTGCTTCACACACACAATCTGCATGGCCTGGGGGAGAGTCAGCAATATGTGGTATGAGTGCACTCAGACTCCAGGTTTTATCCCACAAATTCACAGCTGGAATTGTCCCTGCATGGTGTCGAGCTGAGCACCAGTCAGCATGTCCACCCCCAGTATGTATTCAGCAACGGAGAAATCAAACATCATACAGGCATGCGGGCAAGTGCCTGATATCTAAAATCACCTAGGCCTTCTGGACTGGTGATGTAGTGACCTCTACACCCTTCTATGCATCCTGTAAAATGGTCCGGGTTGCTCTATATTAGCATTGACTCGGTTCCAGTATCCACCAACACTAGTACACAATGCACATTTTGGGGGGACCAGTAAATAGTCAATTCCATCTGTGGCCTCTGGTGTTCTGGGACCCCCAAGACCCAGATATCATGGCTGGTCTCTGAACTGGGGTAAAAGGAGGCCAGTTTCACTTCCTCCTGCTTCGGCCTTCTGGCCCGGGCCCATCAGCTGGTATTGCTGCCCAGGATGTAACTGTGACCACAGAGTCACAACACATCTATAGGCTGCTCATTCAACCAACTTATCTGTGGCGAGGCTGCAGCCAGCAGGTCCATCCAGATCTGGGGCTGACTGACCTTCAGTGGCCCCACAGCCCGTCCTTGGGGGGATGGGCCCCTCGCCCATAGCTCCCCTTTTTTATCTCCTTTGCTGGAACAGTTATTACAGATCTTGCCTTACCTTGGCGCTTCTCTGCCACATTTCCCAGCCTGGCCAAGGCATCCACAGCATTGTGGACTGGGTGATCGTAAACAGCTGCCACTGACCCAAACGTGCCAGCTGGCCCACTCACCAGGATCACGTCCTTCATGCATGCGGTCAGCAGTTCCTCATTTGCCACGTGCGAACATCGTCTGCGGTGTGCCCATTTCATATAGCAGTTATCAAGTCTAGATAGGTTGTCCATTTAGTGACTTGCTCTGGAAAGCCACCTGGATTCCCCAAAACCAGGCAAGCTGCTGCCATCAAGCAATTTAACACCGTCTGATTGCCCACTTCTGGGCTGTTCTCTGAACATTCTGCAGAACCCATCACATACAGGGGGTGCTGCCTACGCTAGCTACT